GTATAGATAAGATAGATTTGGAATGGATTCCTAAGAATATGGAATATCTCATCAAACTGAGTTGAAGGATGGGATGGATCCCACAGGTCACCTAAACCAACTCCCAGTATTCCCAGGGGCTCCATGACAACTTACAGATGCTAAGAAATATGGCTGGGCAAGTAAAAGACTGTCCTATGTCTGAATGTGAATTTGGCAGGTCCTCTGGAACCTACTTCAAGGGCTGGTACCTCTTTGAGATTGTAGTTCAAGGACCTTTTACCCATATTCAGGATTTGGTGAACTGTGTGGCCCTTCTTAACACCCCAAGATAGAGTAAGCCTTAGAGCTGGAAGTGGGGCTCTTGGCCTCACCTTCACTATTTTCCAGAATATTGGGGGCAAAGCCACCTTCATCACCCACATTGGTGGCATCTTTGCCATACTTGTCCTTGATGACCCCCTTGAGTGTGTGGTAGACCTCTGCACCAAGTCGCATGGCATCCCGGAAACTCTCAGCACCCACTGGAAGGATCATGAACTCTTGCATGGCCAGCTTGTTCCCAGCATGGGAGCCACCATTGATCACATTGAAAGCCTGGGGAGCCACAGAATGACAGACGGGTCAAAAAGCCCTTTCCTCCCCACCCCTGGGAGTATGAACCCAAGATGCCAAACTTCCCCCAGCTTCCCAGACTCAGAGTCCCATATTTCCATCTTTCCTCTTTACCTGCCCCAATTTACTGCCCCCCATCATTCCTCAAAAGGTTGCGCCCACCCCACCCCCACCCCTGGGAGGGGCACAGGCATGGTATGGGCAGTGCTCACCGGCACAGGCAGGATGAGGTCTGAGTTCCCAGCCAGCTGAGCAATGTGGCGATAGAGGGGCAATTCCCGCTCAGCCGCCCCAGACTTACACACGGCCAGAGACACACCCAGGATAGCATTGGCCCCAAATTTGGCTGGGAGATTACAGAGGAAGGCACTGAGCACAAAATGACCCCTTTTCTCTCCTAGCCCCTACCTCCATCTATACTCCCTAAAAGAAGTTAGTAAAGGAGACCTCTCCCCCTTCCCTACCCCAGCAACCATTATCATCCATTCTCTCCTGAAAAGAGAATGAGGTGGAAAGGAGAGCCACACCTCTTCCTAAACATCCCCCTGTGACCCAGACTATCTCACACTAGCTCCCTCCTCTTTATCCTGCTGAGTTCTTCCTCCTGTCTGATGTCCCTCCCTCCCACTGCAGTTGCCAGTCGATATTTGCTCTGCTTTGGGAGGAGGATAGAAGTTCTCTGCTAGTCATTCCTGAGGAAGCTCCCTGGCACTGCTCCACACCCCACACCCTTGTGCTCCCCACTTTCTCCAGCCCCTGCTTACATTTGTTCTCAGTCCCATCCAGCTCCAGCATCAGGTTGTCCAGTTTCTCTTGCTCCACCACAGAGAGACCCTACGGGCAGAGCCTCCATCATGCAGGGCCCTATGGCACAAGGGCCCCTCATTCACACACAGGCTTACATCTGGCCAGGGTCCAACCAGGCCCTGTGACAGTGGCCTGCCTAAATTAAGGGATCTCAACCCCTGTGGGAGGAAGAGGCAATAAGGAGCCTTCCCCTCCTCCTCCTTTTATAACCATGATTCCTAAAAGGTGGGTTCTCCTTCCCCTCCACCCTTGCTCCAGGATTCTGGCCCTGCCATCCCCAGCAAAGAGCAGGCCTCACTGAGCTGATGAGGGCTGGTGCGATGGTGGTGTTGATATGGTCCACTGCCTTCAAGACACCTGGAGAGAGGAAGAGGCTGGACTGAGTTAGGCCAGGAGAGGCCATAAGGGAAAAGGAGAGGGGAAGGCATGCTAGAAGAGGGCTGGGAACTGATATGAGGTAGGGGTATAAGGCTGAGGGGTGGGAGAGCCTAGAAAAGAGAAATGGCCTCACCTTTGCCTAAGTAACGCTGTTTATCCCCATCCCTCAGCTCCAGGGCCTCATAGATGCCTGTGGAGGCTCCACTGGGCACTGCAGCTCGGAAAAGACCTAGGAGAGGAACAAGGAATGAGAAGGGAAGAAGGACATCACAGGGGCCAGGGATTCCTTCAGCTTTTCAGCCTCAGACTCTTGCCTGCCAAATTTATCCCTCTCCCTACACTGTTCACACACACACACTCACTGAGCCAGACACATAAGCAGTGGTCTCCTCATCTGCTCAACTGAGGCCCCATATACACAGTGGGAGCCCACAGAAATGAAGTTATGTCCAGCAGTACACCTATGCACACAAGCAGGTGCATAGACAGACAGACAGAGGTAGGGCATGGCTCACACACTAACCTCCAGCCACAGACTCGCCTGGCCTGGCTCCCCTAGGCAAGGAGGATCCAACCCCCACAATCTGAACTGTGAGCTGGGCCCCACAGGCCCAGCACCCCATCCCCACTAGGTCTCAAGGAAGGCCTCCCACTCAGGCCGAGCCCATGGAGAACAGGGGGCTGTGGGAAGGCTCATGCCCCACCCATTACCTTTGGCGGTATAGAGATCCACCTCCACTGTGGGATTCCCACGGGAGTCCAGGATCTCCCGGGCCCAGATCTTCTCTATGGACATGCTGGCTGGGATCTCCTCAGTGAGAGGGAAGGAAGAAAAAAGATAAGAGGCTTGGGGGGCGGAGCCAGAGATCATTGGGCGGGGCCAGAGGCTGGGCGGGATGGGAAAGAGGTTACTGCAGTGGGTGGGGGGTGGGGAGGAGCTGGCTGCAGTCTCCGGGCCGTAGAAGGGATTCCCCCTCCCCCCCTGGAGAGAGAAGGTCAATGCAGTGAGGAAGGGGAGGTCACTGCAGTGGGGAGCGGGGTTCGATCAAAGATGGGATGGGAGAACGCCGCAGTGAGGAGAGGAGGGGTACTGACAGTGGTTCCCTGGCCCCTCAGCAGGCGGGCTGGCTGGTGGGGTTCCCTCAGGTCTCCTCAGAGCAGAATGGCTACCTCACCTGCTTTTCTCCTTCAACCCAGGAAGAAGGGAATGGGTTGCCTGGGCAGCCGGGCCTCTCCTCCAGAGCTCCCATCCCTCCCCAACTTAACACCTTAACCTGCCAGGACTCTGTCCCTACTCCAAGGTCCCAATCTCTTTCCCAAACGTGTGTCCCTCCGCTCCGAGAGATGTACAAGAAGGGTCTGGGGAGAGGGTCCTGGGAAGGCCCTCCAGTCCCTATAGGTTCCAGGGGGAGGGAGGAGGATGAGCGACCTGGTGGAAACAGACAAGGCTGAGCCTGTCCTCCCCCTGAGCCCAAATGCCTCCTCCTTCCCTTCATCCCCCATACAGCCGAGAGGAGGAAAAGTGAAAGGAGAGGGGCGATGTGGGGAAGCAGCAGGAGAGAAGGAAGGCTGGGGAAGCTGAAGAAGGGGAAAAGAAGACATTTCCCCGATTGCGAAGCAGAAGCGACGAGACAGGATACAAAAGCACAGCCATTTGAACTTAAGAAACAAATTGACAGAACCAGAGGCGAAGAAAAGCTTGGGAGAGAGGCAGGCAGGGATGGAGAGAGGCGCAGTTAGGGAGACACAGGTGCCTAGAGGGATTGCACCCGGATAAGGAGGTGCCATCCCTTTCTTTCTGGCTACCAGAAAGCGCGAGAAAAGCGAGAGAACAGCAGTCCGGAGAGGCGAGGAAGGCGGGTGCCGAGAGGCGGGTGACGGAGCAGGTGCGCACAGCAGCACCCGATGTGCAAGGCCAGGCGAGGGGTGGAGGACCGGAGGGGCGCTGGGCCTGGCCTGGGCTTCACCTGGGAGCTGCGGACTCAGGCGGTGGTTGTAGCTGGGGCGGCGGCGGCAGCGGCAGCGCAGATAGCGGGAGTGGTGGCGACAGCAGCGGCGGCGGCAGCGTCTGCTGCGGCTCCCGGGCGGCGGGCGGGGGGAGGCGCCTATAGGGCCGCGCGGGCGCATGTGACCCGGGGCCCCCGATGAGTCAGGAGCTGCCGGTGGAGGCGCACGTACAGGCGCGGGTGGGGACTGCTGGAGGGGAGGGTTGGGGGAAGCGATGGGGGAGGGGTTGGGGCGACCCAATACCTGTCCCCCAACGCACACACACACCGCACGCACTCATCGCTATTCCCACATCCTGACCCACTCGAGAGTAACAGACGCAGCTTCTCCCCAGCAGTCGGGGTCGCGAGGCTCACACTGCTAGTGAAGCCCAAGACACAAACTCGGTCAGACACAAGAGTATCAAAACGTCTCTTTATTGGAAAATTTAACTGTCCTAACACCCCAGCCAGCCCTATCTGAACTCCCACCGCTTCCCACCACACCTGGCTGAGGACTACTCCCCGCCCTGATTACTGGTACAGAGCCTGGGCCTTAGGCTGTGATGAATTTCTAGATTTGTGGCAAAAGGAAGCATCCTTTATCTCCTGGGTCTGAGTGCAGTGACCCCTCACTGGAACTGATCAGGTTTAGGGGCCAGCATCTTTCATTTCCTGGAGGAAGAGTGCAAAAGTAAAGCCTCTGCCCCGATCTGAAGTGCCCAGCTGCCATGCTCATCTCAGTCTCTAGAATTCTGCCTCACCCTGCCCTCCTTTATTTCCCCCACCCTGTGTCCTGTTATTTTTAGCTTCAGATTTTTAGTGCAGGATTTTCCTCTTTGCCTTCTCTCCTAGGCCCAGCTGCATTCCTCAAACACCACCAACTGCCTCCATCCCCCACAACCCCACCATGCACCCAGACATGTCTGTCCTTTCCTAGCAGATTTCAGTCTATGTGCACCCCCTACCAACCCCTCTCCCTGCCACCCCAATTCTTTTCCCTTACTCTTCTGACCTCCTAATATATCTCCTAAGCCTTTTCTCAGCTCTTCCCAGGACCCTGGGGTCCCTCTCCTCACCTTGACACTCCCCAACTCCTAACCCTGATCTTTCCAAGCTTCTCTTTGCTTTATTCTTTCCTCATTCTCCTCATCCCACATCAATTGGCCCTCTTGCCCTTTCTCCACCCTGCCCAGCCCTTGGCCTCCTCTGACTGCCTCCTTGCTGGGTCCCTTACTAGCTTTGGAGGCCAGAAGAACTGCTGCTACATCACTTCCTGGTCCTGCTCCGGGTCATGCTCAGGCTCAGCCTCCTGCTCCTGGTCTTCTTTCAGCCTCTGACGGATCTCACTGGCTTCAGCCCGCTCCTCCTCCTCAAAGTAGTCCTTGTCAAGGCGTTCAAGCTGTGCCATCTGCACAAGGGCCTCCTGGCGGTAGTCACTCTCATCTGTGATTGGGTTGTCCAGCAGCACCAAGGCTCGCAGCTTGGGCAGGTCCCGAAGCTTGGCCAGCTCCGCCAGGTCTGTCACCATGTTGCTCCTGCCAGTTCAGTTAACAGGGTTTACCCAGGAAAAATGGGCATTGGTGGGCAGGCACAGTGGCTCATGCCTGAAATCCTAGCACTCTGGGGAGGCTGAGGCGGGTGGATCGCCTGAGCTCTGGAGTTGGAAGACCAGTCTGAGCAAGAGGGAGACTCCTGTCTCTACTAAAAATAGAAAAATTAGATGGGTGTCATGGTGGGCACCTATAGTCCCAACTACTTGGAAGGCTGAGGCAAGAGGCTCACATAAGCCCAAGAGTCTGGGGCTGCTATAAGCTATAATGATGCCAAAGCACTTTACCCAGGGTGACAGAGTGAGACTCTGTCTCAAAAAAAAAAAAAGAGGGTGGTGCCTGTGGCTCAGTGAGTGGGGTGCCGGCCCCATATACTGAGGGTGGCAGGTTCAAACCTGGCCCCAGCCAAACTGCAACAAAAAATAACTAGGCACTGTGGCAGGTGCCTATAGTCCCAGCTACTTGGGAGGCTGAGGCAAGAGAATCGCCTAAGCCCAGGAGTTGGAGGTTGCTGTGAGCTATGTGATGCCATGGAACACTAATAAGGGTGATAAAGTGAGACTCTGGTTCTACAAAAAAGAAAAAAAAAGAAAAAGAAAAATGGGCTTTGGTTGCCAGCCTCTAGGAATGGGGCTTCTGGGGCCATTCTGCCACTGGGTTTCAGATTCCCTACAAACATTGACTAAAAGTTCTGACCTGCCAAGTGTTGCCAGATTTGCTGCAAAGGTGCCATCCAGCCCCACTCCAGTTCTACTGCTGCCCTTTGAGAAATCCCTAAGTGCCACATTCTACTTTGAAATGTGTTTGTTTATCCTTTTGGAGCAGCAAAGCTAGTCCACAGCCCCGTCATACAGTTGGAGGGGAGGGAACAAATCCAACAGAGGTTAAAAGGTAGGACCTAGGTCAGTGAAGACAGAACTGGGATCTAAGTACAGGTTCAGGGTGCTGGATGCTACATTGGAACTCCCCAGAGCAAAGAATCTATAGCTAAGGATGGGTTGGGGCCTTCCAGCCTAAATTGTCATCTCTAACAGGCCTTATTGCATGATAGTCTGCATTTACTTATTTACTTATTTATCTGATATAGAGTCTCACTCTGTCACCCTGGGTAGAGTACCATGGTGTTATAGCTCACAGCAATCTCAAACTCTTGGCCTCAAGAGATCCTCTTGGCGCAGCCTCCTGAGTTGCTGGAACTATAGGCGTATGTGTCATGAAAATACATGTACAGTCATGCAGTCATAGCTCGCTGCAGACTAAAACTTCTGGCCTCAAGCAGTCCTTCCACCTCAGCCACCTGAATTGCTGGGATTTTAGACACATACGCCTATATCCAGCCTTTTTTACTCTGCCTGGCTTATTTTCATGTTCTTGTCTTCGAGCCTTTCTTTCCTCTCCTTCCTCTTCTGCTTTCTCATCTTCTTCCTCTTCTTTTTTTTTT